ACATTCAGCGTAACTACTGAAAATATGAATTTAGTGCCATTGTATTACCTGTAAAGTCACTGTTTCTTTATATTGTCTCTGTTCCTTTCTGTTCTATGTTACTTTTGGGCTTTCTCTTTGCTAAAGGATCCCCTTTAATATTTCTTGCAAGGCTGGTTTAGTGATCACAAATTCTTTTAGTTTCTGTTTGTCCTGGAAGCTTTTTATCTCTCCTTCTATTCTGACTGACAGCATTGCTGGATAAAATTTTCTTGGTGCATATTTTTTTCATCTAGCACCCTGAATATATCATGCCAGTCCTTTCTGGCCTGCTAGGTCTCTGTGGATAGGTCTTCTGCCAGTCTAATGTTTCTATCCTTGTAAGTTAAGGACCTCTTGTCCAGAGCTGCTTTCAGGATTTTCTCTTTGTCTCTGATATATACAAGCTTCACTATTATATGTCAAGGTGTTGACCTATTTTTATTGATTGTGGGGGGGCGGTTCTCTGTGCCTCCTGGACTTGAATGTCTATGTTTCCTTCTCTGCCTCCTGGACTTAAATGCCTGTTTCCTTCTCCAGATTAGGGAAGTTCTCTGCTATAATTAGCTCCAATATACCTTCTGCCCCCCCCTCTCTTTTTCCTCTTCTTCTAGGACCCAATTATTCTAATATTGTTTCGCTTTATGGTATCATTTATCTCTCGAATTCTCCCCTTGTGATCCAGTAGTTGTGTTCTTTTTCTCAGCTTCTTTATTCTCCATCATTTTGTCTTCTATATCACTAATTCTCTCTTCTGCTTCATTCATCCTAGCCGTTAAGAGCCTCCGTTTTTTATTGCATCTCATTAATAGCCTTTTTGATTTCAAATTGATTAGATTTTAGTTCTTTTATTTCTCCATAATGGGATTCTATAGTGTCTTCTATGCTTTTTTCAAGCCCAGTTAGTATCTTTATAATCATTATTCTGAACTCTAGTTCCAACATCTTACTTATATCCATACTGATTAGATCCCTGGCAGTCGGTACTGCCGTTTGTTCTCTTTTTTGAGATGAGTTTTTCCTTCTTGTCATTCTGTCCAGATTAGAATAGATGAACAAGAGAACAAAATACTAAAATGCTAAAAATGACCCCAGAGAAATATACACTAAACAAATCAGAAGAGATCTGAAACTGAAAAAAAAATAATTAAAATTTTAAAAAAGAGAGAATATAATAAGACAGTTGAACAGAACAGAGCAATACACTGGAGCCTGTGTGTATTTTGGTCTGTTTGTTAGAAAAGTAGATCCCAAAATTGCAAAGAAAAAAAACTTAAATATTTACAAAAATAAAATTAAATACAATGAAAGGACAGAATGTAACTGTAAAGATGAAAATTAAAAGAGAAAAGAAAGAGTAAAAGAAAAAAAAAGAAGGAATATAAACAGGCAGGTGAACAGAAGAGAACAATACACTATATTCTGAATGTATTTTGGTCACTTTTTTAGAAGAAACTAAATCTTAAAATTGTAAAGAAAGAAAAATATATATATAAAATTAAATACATTGAAAGGATAGAATGTAACTTTAAAGATGAAATTTTAAAAAGCCTTTAAGAAAAAGAAGAAGAAGAAGAAGAAGAAGAAGAAGAAGAAGAAGAAGAAGAAGAAGAAAGAAGAAGAAAGAGTGAATATGATTAGACAGGTGAGGAGAACAAAGGATACATTAGAGTCCAGGTCTGTTTTGGTCTGTTAGAAGTAACTGCATTCCAAAATTGTAAGGAATTAAGAATTAAAAAAAAGAATTGATAAAATAAGAAATTGGTTGAAAAAGGAAAGAGAAAGAAAATTAAAGTGGAAAGCCTAAGGAATTGTGGGGAAAAAATCCATGAATTCTATATATTATTTTCCCCTAGTACTGGAGTTTGACAGTTCTCTATGATCAGTAAACTTGGTCTTAGCCATACCTCTTGTCCAGAGGTCTTGTCTTAGCTGGATGTTCTTGCTTATCTTCTCAGGGAAGGGCCTGTTGCATTGATTCTCAAGTATATTTGCCCCAGGCGGAGTTGCACTCCCCTTGTCAGGGGGCCAGCCTACGTTCAAGTGGCTCTGCCTTGCTCTATGTGGCTTTCATTCCCTGAAAGCTTTCTGTGCGGCTTAAAGGATGAGAATGGAAATGGCAGCCTCCCAATCTCCAGCCCCAGAGCTGAGAGCTCGGGGCCCCACTCTTCAGTCTGCCCTCAGGGAAAAGCAGTCAGTTACTCCTATCTCCCTGGTCTCCAGCCATACTCTGTGCTCACCCAGCCTGTGACTGACTGTTTCTATCTCAGGCTCATGAACCCACCTTGAGTCTCCAAACCCTGCAGATTCATGTGGCTCACACCAGCTCTGCAACCCCAAGGGGAGGAAGGGGGTCTCACCAGTTCTGCCGCTTGCTGAGCCCCTGCTTGGAGAGTGGTTGCTTGACCAAGCCCTGGTTCAGGGTATATGGCAACCTTGAGCTGAAAGCCCACTCCTGGGTTTGCTGATTGCAGCTGGCTTCCCCACTCTGATGCCTGGGAACTCTGCTGCACTCAGGCACCCCTGGTCTTCCTGTGACCCTGAGGATCCTGAGACCACATTGTCCCACCCAGGATTTTGCCCTGCTTTGCCACCTGAGTGCCTTTTAGACAGGGGCGTTCCTCACCAGAGCCGACTTCTGAAAGTTCTGAGCTGCTATATCACTTTCTGGTAGCCGGCTTACAGAGGCTCGCACTGCCCATGGTTTGTCTTCCAATATATTGCCTTGGATTCACTTCTCTTCACCTCCTACTTTGCAGAAAGTGGACACTTTTCTATTTGTACAATTTCAGCTATTCTTTTCTTAGATCTCCGGTTGAGTTGCAGTATTCAGAATGATTTGATAGCTATCCAGCTGAATTCCTGGGACCAGATGAAATTATGGTCTCCTACTCCTCCACCATCTTGGATTCAGACCCTGAGAGAGAGAATTTTAAACAGGCTCCATGCCCAAAGTGGAGCCGTATTCAGGGCTTGATCTTATGAGGTAGATTTAATTATCATCCTCATTTTGCAGATAATGTCACTGAGAAAGTCTGAGAGAGGTAAAATGAATTGGGTGTTAAACCAGCTATCTGACTTTAAATCCTGAATTTTTCTCACAGTAATGTGGAGAGCATGGGCAAGAAGTCAGGCTCCCAGAACCTGCCAACTTGTTTACATGTTTTATTTTTCTTTCTTTCTTTTTTTTTTTTAAAGATTTTATTTATTTATTTGAGACAGAATGAGAGAGAGAGAGAGCACATGAGAGTGGGGAGAGTCAGAGGGAGAAGCAGACTCCCCGCCGAGCAGGGAGCCCGATGCGGGACTTGATCCCGGGACTCCAGGATCATGACCTGAGCCGAAGGCAGTCGCTTAACCGACTGAACCACCCAGGCACCCCCATGTTTTATTTTTCAATTACGTGACATTGGTTCTTTTTGTATTGTTTGGACTTGTCTATTATAATAAATAATTCAGAGAGTTGTATATTTTTTCCATTGGCTATTTGCTCCTGTGAACTAATTATGCTACATAAAATCATCCTTACAGCTGTTTAAATTATCCAACCAATCCAAATTCTTGTTTTGCTTCTTACAAGGTCCTGCTTGACTTGGAGAAAGTGGGTGTTCCATTTCTCTCACTATATTTAGCTGCCTGGAATGGTAACTTCTACCTGCACTTTGGGACTTTGGCTCAAAGCCAGTGTGGTTACACAAGGGAAGGTAAAGTGGCTGGATTGAGGTTGTATTTTGTGTCAGCCATTTTTTTAAGGGCAGTATTTTGAGAAGAATGTTGCCACATGGCTGGAAGAAGTGTTGGGTTGCAAACATACTTGGTGTGGTTTGCTATGATTTTACTCATTATCTCCCCATTAGGCTGTCTTTATCACCTTGTCTTTTGGATACTTGCTGCTGTAAAATAGAGTTCTATGAAAGGTGGCTTGTTCTGTGCTTAAACCTGTGGCAAATCATCAACATTGCTCCTCTTTTTAAATTCCAAGAAGATATGCTAGGCACCAAGGAAAAATTGGCTAGCATTTCTTCTGCTTGTCATGTAATCATTGTATTCCCTGACTGGGAGAGATTTTGAGAGGTCAGCTTGTTCTTTCTACCTTGTCCTCATCTTCTTGACATGGATCCATTAAAAACATCCTCAAAAAAGGCATCACATTTTATTAAACCCCTGAAGAGAGTCCAGGTTCTTTTTATTATTAATTCTAGTGTTTATCACTTTAGACTATATTTAAATAACACGAAAAAAAGCAGATGATGACAAGTTTGACCAACTCTGCAGTCCTCTTCCTGTTTGTTTTGGCCCAATACGTAGCCAGTTAAATTGACTATGTAAACATCAGCTATGAACATGGAAGAAAATACGGACTGGATTATGTGATACTCAGGTGAAAGACCTAACCTTATCATCAGCGAATTCATCCTTTACCTAATTTCAATCCCTGAGGATACAATTCAAGTAAACCTCCTCTGAAACTGCCATGAACGGAAGTGGAAATAGCTTCTTGCCATTTGCTGTGTAAGAAACATACATATGTACTGGAAAATAAGAGAAAGAAACTTTGGACTCTTAGAATAAATCATCAGAGAATTTTTTGCTGCTCAAGTCATCCTAGGAACCTGAAGTTGCTCACTAAATATGAAATTGCTTATAAACAATTTAGGACAAAACCTAAGAGTTCTAAGAATTTGGTAAAAATTAACTATTATTTAGAGAAAGCAGTGCCAGGGTTTAAAATGAGCCTTCCACACAGAGGAGGACAAAGGAAGGTAATAGACAAGACCAAGGTGATAGGAGCAGAACCAAGCTGTTGGCCTGATCATTTCTGCTGAACAATTTTCATAACTTTAGGGAAGAGACATTCTCAGTCACTACCCAAACATACCTCTGTGCAATACAGCAGTATTGCTTCCATTTCATTTAAACACCTACTAATCTGTTTCCTATTTATCCACAGTTGACCTTGTCATTCTCAAATCCTCTTGTAGCTGGCTGAAGATCCTACTCCATTACCATCTGAAGCAGAAGTGTCTGAATCAGAATGCCTCTGCCATCTGAGTGAAGGACTATGCCTTGTTGGGGCCAACAGATGCCTAAAGCATCTAATCAGATGAAATGAGGTGAGAACCCCACGCTAGCACTCTGAGCAGGGCAGTGGCATTGATCCCCATTAGAACTGGCAAAAGGATGCAGCTCTTGGGGTACATTCCCACCAGTGGACTCCTTTGGCAGTCTTTTACCTGTTTTCAAGCACATGAATCATACAGTTTACCAAAATTATCCAGGACACTTAAGAAAAATACAATTTCCTCCCTATTATCCGATATTCTGATCTTGTTAGTTTGAGATAGGACCCCTGACAATGTTTTATAAGCTTTGTAGATGATTCTTGGAGACTTTCCTTTAAGTAATTGAGCTTTTCCAAAGGAATCATTTATCTTGAGTGAATGGGGGAAACTCTTTGAGCTTTAACAGTTTGCTCACCTATCTAAAAATGTAATATTTTATAGGGCTTTGGACAGCTCTGATTTAGTTCTATTATTAGCCCTTACTGAATTAGTTATATCTGCAGCAAAGTTCAGGGAGGACACCCAGGTCTTTATCAGGATTTCCAAGTAGGACAGGCTCTTCTTAAATCACCCTTAGTTTCTGAGATGTGAGCTGGTGGTCTGCGTGAGGGGTTAAAGAGCCTGATTAGCCCATCTTCCCAGGCCCCCCACTGCAGGATCAGCCATTTTTTTTTCCCCCCCGAAGTCCTGCCCTGGCCTGGAAGTAGATCACTGGCTTACTCTTTATTCTCCTGGGCCTGGCACGAGTCCTACCACACACAGGTTGTATCTAGTGTGCTAGATGTGAGTGCTGTGTTACCTCTCTATTGGAACCTCCTCTTCTCCTTACATTGCTGACTTCTGCCTCAGTTTACCAGTGTAACTTTCCAGTTCTTCACTTGATCTGCAGCTGACCTTGAGTCTTAGCCCACTACTCCAGCCCCCTGCCTTACTGCCTGCCTCTTGCCTCTTTTATCCTGTGGTCTGTTCTCTGAACCCTACTGACTAATCCTACAGTGCACAGAGTGGAGTATCCTGTGGGGCCAACGGTGGCTCCCCAGACTTAAACTGCCTTCGTTGGAAGCTGGCTCTAGCACCTTCTAGCTGGGTGAGTTTGCACAAATACCTAACTACTTAGTTTCTTTACCTTACTTTCTTCCATCTTTATTCTCTTAGTTTCTTCATCTGTAAAACAGAGAAATAATAGTATCTACCTCACAGAATTGTAAGAATTAAATGAGGCAACACATGTAAAATATTTAGAAAGTATTTAATAAGTGGAAGCTACTCTCATGATTATTACTGGCTTACTGGGGGCCATGAAACAATTGCCTGCTTGATCATAAATTTTGTCTGCTAAATGGAGTTTAGTTCACCACATCCTTAGGACATTGCCTATTGTGCTGCCCACTACATGCATTCCCAGCTGCTTATCTCTCCTCAGCCCCTTACAGTGTCAGTGGTGTTTCTGGGGATCCTGTGCAAAGCTTGTCCAACCAGCCTCATTTATGACAATTCATTCTCTTCAATTTTCTTGCCTTTTTTTTCTTTAACTGGATTAACCAAGTTCCTTCAACTTCATAGACTTTAATTTCCAATCACTTGGTAATCTTTCTGCCTCCACTTTAAACCTTTTCCAAATTCTTTTCTCACTTAGTTGCTTAAACCAAATGTGGTTTACAAAGGCTTACAAACTAGGCTGAGGATTCAAAGATTATTTTGGGGTCCCTATATGCTCTCCCTGATTCTCCATTCAGGATCATGGTAAAGTGTTGAACCTCAGAATGCAGCTGTTCTTTGGCTGCTGACATGCTCTCACTCACACTGAAAATTTCCTGTGTCTTGTTATACTATTTTGCAAAAATTAATAAGATCTCAAGAAACTGCTGATCTATTATCATGGAGGGCTTAGTGGTGGACTGCCTCTTTTGAAGTGGTGAAGATAAGGAAATAATGATGGGACAAGAAGAGAAAGAATATTGCTATTTATTCAGTAAATATTTAATTAGTACCTATTTTGTGCCAGGCGTTGGTCTAGGCGCTTAGGAGAATATGAATGAATAAAACAGACACAGATCTATGTCATAGAAATTTTCCATCAAAGGTGGACACAAAATCAATAGTTGTATTTTAATAAAAAACATTTTGATTAAAATTTAGAGGGATGTATTAGAGTTTAAGCAGATCATCGAAGTTTAGGAATTATGACATTTTATTACATGCTTAGCAAAATACAGATGTTATTAGTAATATTTAAATTAGTAAACAATAAATATAATAAATAACAAATGTAATCAGCCTTTATCTTGATATTTTTCACATTTTCAAAAGCTAAACTGAATATGAAAGGCATGCAATTTTATCCTGGTGATCTAGAATCTTCTAGAAAGTATTGATGAGGCTGTGAGGCTCTAAGGTAAATTGTGGGTGGCAAAGTTTACAAATACTGTTTGGCAGTGATCAGTTGTCCTCTAAGAGGGATTGGCAGTCTTCTGGATTAAAAAAATCAGATCTTCATTTATTAGGATTTTCTGAGTAGTAGCAGGGGTGATGTCCCTGTCTGGGGAGAGGTAAGGGTGCTGGCAGCGAGAGTGGTGAGAAGGCAGGCGTGTTGGTGGCTTAAAGATCATGTTCTCCACATGTCTATGTGAGGCTGTCTGGTGGGTGTAAGGGTTATTTCAGGACATTCTGGGGGCAGCAAAACTGACAGAAGATACAGAAAAGGGAGGGTAGTTTTCCCCAGCCTTTAAAAATAGAAATCACATGGGGAAGAGTCACATCTTAATTCTTTATAAACTAACATTTCAATATCATGGAAAAGAAAATTACATAAAACTGTGTTTTAAAATGGTTCTGATATTTTAGTATATTTAAATTACATGTTAAAATATTTTAAAAAATAAAGAAAAGCTCTTCAAAGAATTAGAGTGGAAATTTAGAAATTTGGAGCTAATTCAACAAACTGTATTTGAAAATCCAGCCTGTATTCAGCGTTTTTTCAAGGTCCTGGGAATGCAATAGTTGGCTAAGACATTTCTCTAGTTCTCAAAGAACTCACAATATAGTAGAGGGTGAGGGTGACACATGCAACACCGAAGGAACACTATTCATTGTTGTAGATGGTCTATCAGACTAGATCCCCTCAAATTACTGTGGGAGGAGGGTGGGCTGGTTCTGGGAAGTTTTATTACCAAGTTTTTTTTCTCTTTTTATCCTTGTGTTTTATGGTTTAATCATAAGTGTAGCTTTGTATGCAAATCATCGCAAATCCTTTTGAGAAGTAAAAAATGTCCTTAAACAATCAATCAGTAAAGATAATCCTCTGATAAAGTAAAATTTGGATACAAAAATCAGACAAGAGATCAAAGTTAGAGTAATCTTAAACCATTACGTATAAAACACCCCTCAAAAACAAATAGGCTGTTCCGAAAAAAATCTCAGAGTGAATTTGCTGGAGGACTAGTCAAAGGTCATGTTGTTTCCTGATTCAAAGAGATTATCACGGGGTGGGGGGGGTGCAGGGGGGGGTTGGTCGGATTTCCTTACATTCAGCAGTCTCCTGTTCCTTTTACTCTAGTTGAGTAAAGGATCACAAAGAATCTGGTCAGGATTGGGAAGAGAGGGCAACTATAAAGAAGGAGGATTCTCCATATGGGAAGACTGGCAAAATTCTAGTTCTGGGGGATTATAGGAGGGGAGAAATGGGGGCTGCCTAGGTTATTAGGAAGAAGATGGTTAAAACCTTTGATCCTGGGTCTGATCCCAGGGAGCAGGTTGAAGAGATCCTAAGCTTTCACTCAGTAGCTCCAAAATACAATCAGATGAGTATAGCCTGAATGTTTCCAATTCTAAAAGTCAAGATAGGGAGAAATTTTGTTTGGGCCCGAGAAGCAATACTGCATTAAATTAAACAAGTAGTGACAGGAATTAGTCATATGATGGAAGGCCCCACTTTATTTGCATGGGTTTGCATTTCTTTAAATCTTATTTTATGTAGTTTTAAAACTATATTTTGTATTGTTTATAATTAGCAATGTTAATGAGTAGTTTTCTATTTGTATTGTTACATTAGTAAAAGCTTCTTTTATACAAAAAAGAAAAACCAACTCATATGCTAAATAATCTGAGAGACTTGTCTGGTGAAAACTAGGTGGAATTCATAACATAACTGAGGACTCCATTGTGTCTCCTAGTGTCAATGACACAAATTGCAAGCATAGCAATCCTGCCCAAGAAGAGTTACCCAGCCTTGTAAATCCAAACCTACTGAGTAATGGTAGATAGCAAATCATGGCAGGGATTGGCTGGCAACCACTTTAAATCAAGAGTGGAGCATACTACATTGTCATTGCTTACTCCTATTTGGTCATAAATTTTTTGAGTGTAGGGACTGTATTTGACTTACCATTGAATCTCTGGAGCTCAAAAGTATGGGATGCATAGTTGGTATTTGAGGAAAATTATGAAATGAATTAGAAACTAGGATGAGGAGTGAGGAGGGAAGCCAAAAAGGGATGTATGAGGATCTCAAAATTGAACTGAATTTGTATTCCAAATTTGCCTAGAATCCTCCTTGGCTTTTCCTATGAGCCATAGATGGTTTACTTCATCTAAAAGGGCTTATTATGGGGCACCTGGGTGGCTCAGTTGGTTAAGCGACTGCCTACGGCTCAGGTCATGATCTCAGGGTCCTGGGATCGAGCCCCGCATGGGTTCTCTGTTCAGCGGGAGGCCTGCTTCTCTCTCTCCCACTCCCCCTGCTTGTGTTCCCTCTCTCACTGTGTCTCTCTCTGTCAAATAAATAAATAAAATCTTAAAAATAAATAAATAAATAAAAGGGCTTATTAGGTACCAAAGAGAATCTTAATTTTAGTTTTCAAAGTGTAGATTTGTCTTTCCATTGAGAGCAGATTTCTTTTTTTTTTTTTTTAAAGATTTTATTTATTTATTTGAGAGAGAGAATGAGATAGAGAGAGAGCATGAGAAGGGGGAGGGTCAGAGAGAGAAGCAGACTCCCTGCTGAGCAGGGAGCCCGACGTGGGACTCGATCCCGGGACTCCAGGATCATGACC